TACTACTAGTATTATTACAGGCGAGGGCGATATAGAGACTGCCGCCGAATTGTTACATTAATGATAATAATTCATGACTAAATTAGCCAACCATATTGCTTTATTTTGCGGCTCACATCAGTTCAGTCCTTGGACTGGATCAAAATTACAGTAACCTCACTTAATCTTCCAATTCGGACTGGACTAGATTTCTTGCATTTTGAGCTGCTTCGATCGCCTCAGACTAGATCAAATTGTGCGGACTTGAGGCTAGTCCTCATAGTTGGATTTGAAATATGACGTAAATATGACTGTGTATACCGCCAGAATCCTAGTTAAAGAAAAGTCAAGGTCATTGCTAGAGGCCAATGGGCAATGGACGAGATCAGAGTTTTCAAGATGGCGGCCATTTCTCAAGATCGTTGCTAAGCCTAAACCTTACTCGGAACCTTAGCCTAATCATTAAATCCCAACCTTGGCTAAGGCCTAACCCTGACATAAACCTCAACCTAAAGCGAACTGTGAGTTTAATTTTGAACTATCGAGTATCGTGAAAATCTCCCTCTTGTCCATCTCTTTTGAGTTTTGAGCCGGTTTTGGCCATTACTCCATTAGGCATCTCTTCCCATCAATAACTGCAGGTTGCAAGTACTTAAGTCTGTCTGGATTTCTGTATAGATTGTTCACAGGCTATTGTTTCCGTACAACATGCTGTGTAAATGAAGTCGAGACATAATACTGAATAACAGTAATAATAGTATTTATATATTTTAAACTCCTTGGGTGTTTTTTTCCTTTTTGTTTACAATTGTTTGGTTTTGTGCAAAATACCATAAACCCGGATCTTCATCAGTAAAATAACATACGAGGAATTTTATCGAATCATGCAGTACTTTGTCTCTGTTTGTGTAAATAAACTGGTATATATACAAGGCAAGTTAATTTAATAAAGCAACAAACGACAATGACAGCACTCGGATTGGACGAGCCTGTGTAGCAGTAGGATTTGAATTCCTACCGAGGTGGGACGTAGGAGTGTTACCCAGTGGCTTGGCGTTTTGACAAAAGTTGCAATACCTTACCCTTGGAAGGACACGTCCCCATCAAGTCTCCGCAAAATTTGAAATAACAACTTGGACATTTTTCCTATAAATTTCCTTTAAAAAGTGCTGTTGATGTTAACATGACTTTAATAACTGCTAACATGCTATAACATCATGTTAACACGTCCCCGTCAAGTCTCAAAACTTGAAATAACAACTTGGACATTTCCCTATAAATTTCCTTTGAAAATTACTTTTGATGTTAACATGACATATACATTTCTACTGGATTGCCTACTGCAAAATAAGCATCCAATGCGTTGCACTGCATGACTCAAGCCTGCAGTAGCTTTTGCGGAGCGAAAAGAGGAAGAGATGAAATCTCCATGACCTGATGACCAAGCATGATGACTTGTACCAATTTAATTCAAAAACCATTTTGACTCAACTATATGCATGTTATTTTAACAGGGAAACAAGATCGTAAATTAGATAATAAATACGATTGCAGGTCAGGGGCCGGGTGATGGTCAGTTATCAGTACCCATATGTGGTCTTACCTAACGGAAATAAGTACAGCTTGCTGTAAAACCCCTAAAGACGGTACGTCAGAATAGTCTTTGATTTGCCGCTTCAACCCGCGGCGAACGCGCGCCAAAGACACAGGGGCCTTGTCCGAACATTGTGGCATTGTATAGCTTTATACAACAACCCTATTTCGGGGTTATTGGCATTGTGTAGCATTGTATAGCACTGTATAACATTGTATAGTATTGTATTGTATTGTATTGTATTGTATGATACAGCTGTTACGACTATGAAGATCAGTCGTTATAGCTTGTAGGTAGCAAATAAACCGTGACTTAAAACGGATATGTAAAAAAAATACGTCGAAGGGTTGCGTTCCCCGATTATATTGACCGTTTGTGGGCGTTCACATACCTGCAGTTCCGATCTGTAGTTATTCAATTATAACTCGGTGTTTGTGTTTGTATCAAGTCAGATTGAAATGGAACTTAATTTGTTTCTCTATTCGTTTCACGGTTTACAAGAAATTGTGTTTTGGGACATCAGCCAGGAATGATTCGAATTTTGAGGCTAGTGCCACTCTTGGAAAGCGCGTGCTGGGAGCATTTAATTGTGAATGCTGTTATAAATCTATGTGAAGCGAAAGTCCTGTCAATGGACTCAAACTCTGGGCCTGTAGGCATAGCTAAAATGGTCAAATCTGGTAGAAAAGCTACTCGGTTCGTGGCTAGCTAGCTCTATAGGCTATACAGCATACTCTATTGCCATGCCTGTGTACCTTCTGAGTTCTGTGCGCGTTGCTTGGTAGCAGATGATAGTCAGCTACAAAAATGTTAATACTTCAGTTTCATTTATTATAATATTAATATAATACAAGTAGATATTTTCTCATTCTGAAAACTGCCAGGGGAACACAATTTGCTATACGACAGTGCTTTACAGCCTTAGCGGCTTAGGGTTAAATTGGACGCCATCTATTTGGTAATCGTTTTTCCGCAACGCAAGACCCTTGACCAGTTGACCTAATATTGCTTTAATCCTATATACTTATTGGTTATACTGTATGGGATATAGACCTAGAAGACTAGAATATAAGTAATTATCACCTAGCTAGTCTGTACTGACTGTAGGTCTCATAAACTGTTACATTAGTTTTAACATTTAGAAAGTATTCTAGCTATTCTTCAAATTATAATTAATTTGTAACAGGGCAAAATAAAGTCCACTGTCACTGATTTTGGCAAAGAATCTACCGGCAGTTAAAAGTCACTTTACTGAAGTCTGAAAAAACTGATTAGGAGCATATGCATTTAAAATATACTATTACTGCCTTACTGGCCAGGCTAATTTTTCCCCCCCATTTCATTCGTTTTTAAGCATCATAAACTGTGACCAATTAAATTGTAATTTACCAGACATGCGGCGTCTTGCATAGAATTTAAACTGAGAAAGCTCTCTTTGTGCGGAGTGTAAAATTAATATGACAATATCAATATATGACATCTTCAATGACAATGTTCACAGCCCACTGCAGGAGAGTAAAAACGTTGTTCACTTTAGTATCTTTACTGGTACTAAAGAGTAAAGTGATAGTATAAAAGGATTGTTTTAAAACCAACACGAGTTTTGGTTAGGAACGAAAGCTGTAAGGAAGTATTACTGTATTAAATAGTGACATCTACAATAAACAATTCACTAACGCCATGGCCCATGTAGCTAATTATATATTAAACACAATAACGGTACAATATCAAATATAACATTGTTTCGTATGACCTTGTATTGGCAAGGGAGCGTAAAGATTAATTAAAACTTAGTTAACAGACAAAATTACCCTCACAAAAGTCAGGGTTTCCTATTGCAGTGACAACTCTCCTCCCATTTGTAGCCAAAGAAGAAGCGAAAGGAAATTCGCTGTTTATTTATCGATTAAGAACCTTTATAATTTCGTTTTGCATCGCTTCGTTCACAAACAGAAAAGCGTTCTATATTGAAAATATTTTAATCCTCAAACGAATATATTGCAAAGCCTTCAAGCTATTTTTTCCGGTGTTCGACAAAAATACTTTGTCTTTTGTACTTCTTAGTTGCTTTTACCGAGTGAATTACGGTTTAAACTGCAAATACTTTAAACTTTAAAAGGTTTTAATTCAATGACCAATTGTTCTGTTTACTTTCGTTTTATTCCATAATATACATTTTCCCTCGACATTTTCCGCCTTTCGTTTCTTTATCTTCTTTCGTTTTCACTTTGGTACATTCGTGGAATTTTTTAGTTTCACAAAGTTTTCGCGGTTTTACGTGCAGACAGACGAACGTATTTCTGGCAGACACGCTTCCTTCGGGGAAACACAGCAGCGAGCAGACGAATAAAAAACACAAACTAATTACGTTCTGCGAAAGGTTTACACAGCAAGCGGGAATGGTAAACTAGTTGCTTTGAACTTAATAGCTGATGTGTATTGTCAATGCATTTCGCACATTTCAACCTTTCAACTGGGCGTCTCAAACGGGTCGTGTTTTCACAACTATTTCCTGTTGACTTTTGAATTAAATTTAATAACCCGAGCATTTGATACCGCGCTGATTTTTCATGGAGTTACCCTACCCCCCTTCGTTTTGTATACAGTAAAATTATATTAACTATGCCCTATTTGACATTTCCGAATTTGACATCAGGAAATCGGTTTACAAACCAAAGTGCAAAACTTCCGAACTGCATGGTACAAAGCGTTCGCTGTCGGCATTTGGGCAATGGATTTGGGCAATGGTTGCCCAAAAACCAACAAAAATATTTGGAATAGATTTACATCTCAAAAAAATTTAAAGTCAACGTAAGTTGATAGGCTACGTTTCCGTTCATGAAAGACTAGCGTTTAAATACCGGCATTTAATAATTCTAGACCTAGATATAGGTTCTTGATATTCACAAACAAACGCTTTGCCCTGTCAGTTTTGCTATCAGCTAGAAGACGCCGTAATGTTTGGGAAACAATTAGCTAGCGACAGGATTAAAACCAAGAAATGTCGTTTAATACTATAGTTCCTGTTTTTCAACCACTATTAATGAACCCCAAAGGAGTAACTGTTTTTAAATATGGTTTAAAGGAATTATAGGTTTTAATTTCATAGCAGGGCGCTCGCGATCGTCCACGTAGACGGAAAATATTTTTCAATACTCGTTTCGTTTTGTTGTTGTTTATCAAAAATGGCTTTACTCGCAGAAACAATTCTAAAAGTCATACAATGGTGTACTTTACCCTTTAGAAATGTTCTGTATAAATTATCATTAATTTGTGTTTTGAATTGAGCAATACACATAGCTTGAATTCTGCCATTCGCTGGGGGTGACGTTGCCATGTCAACCACTTGAATTCGTCGCGCTGATTGGCTAATGGAATGTTGAAGGTGGTATTTTGAAGTGAAAATCACTTGCGAAAACCTGGCCTACCTTTTATTCGCTGTGCTCTTTCCTCGTTAAGCTTTGTGAGTCTATTGCTCTCTTCATATCGAGAGTGACAGACCGCTATAGGCTTAAAGTCTTCGGTATACGAGACTTAAGAGGTACGTTTTGTGGTCGAAATAAATCATAGCAGTACTATGACTGTCAAGACGTGAGTCGCCCGCAAAAGCTCGCGCTGACTCATTCATTTTATTAGGGGATTTAAATGTAATGATAGATGATTGTTGTTGTGTGTTCACCATTGACGATACTCTCTTTTATTCAAAGGAACTCGAATTACATCGAGTTAAGCACAAAGACACAGCAACAAAGTTGTGTGGCCTATGTTCAAATTCACTTCGAAACCGAAGGTAAGTCAAATTTACAAATAACACTTGTAAAATATAAATATATTGAATTACACGCGCGCCGCGGAGTTTACACAAATTTGAATAGGGCCAAACTGAAATTTCGCTTTGTTTATAAAGGTTCACAACAGAAAGAAAGATATGCCAGTGCATTTAGAGTTTGGTCCTGAAGTGTTCCTTCACTTCACCGCACAGCAACTTACAGACGACAACGAAGTTTACGAAACGAGTGGACCAGGATCGATTCGTGATATATGGAAGAAGTTCGAACTCTCTGGCCCGACACCACTGACTCCACCGCTTTCACCTTCCCGACAAACTAGTGGCGCTGCATCACCGGCCTGTTTGACATCGACAGCAGCAGATACGTTGCAATGTGTTTCAGATATCTTGGACTTGGATAGTTGCCGTACGATGTTTGCTGAGCACAGCTGTACAAACTTAACATCAAAGTTAATTCAAGATTGCATGTGGGGCAGTCATTCACTACAAGAGAAAGCCCAGCGTGCCAAATGGATAGAGAACGTTTACGATACGCCTTGTTCGACCCCACCATCGTTCTACGCTATAGATTATGTCAGTGCAGAATGTGTGGACCCAGCGTCCGTATTCCCCTACCCCATCAACAACCAGGAGTTTCCAAGCAGTGAATCATCGTCAGGTATGTGTGAATTTCAAAATGTCATTTTAATGCGTTATTTAATGCCTGTGGGTTTACTCTGAATTAGATTTTATAAAACGTCGTAATGGTCGAAATGGGTTTATTATGTACATTTCGTGTTGCTAACGGTTTTTGGAATCAGTGTGCGAATCCGACAAATAAAATGAAATGAATTAGTTTTATTAGTAGTTTGGTCCAAAATTCCCAAAACTCATTTAAAGCTGTGACTGTATAACTGTATTTTCCCCCTGTGGGTGTTTATAACATTATATTTATACTAATTGGAGCACTCGAATCTTATATTTTGACTTGTTTGTTGCAGAAGACGAAATTGACGTTGTAAGCATTATCGAGAAGCCAGTTAAGCGCAAATGTCCTCAGCCTTGTAACAACAATAACAACATGTCAAAAACTTTGCGGCAGGCAGATCAACCGGCAGCGAAAAGACCCAAAATGAGTCCGAAACGACCCCGTGAGAACAGGGACAGAGACAGCAGAGAGTCTAGTCCAGAACCGGAGCAAGATCCTTCGAATCGAGACTCCGGGAAGGACAAGTTTGAGGATCCCGAATGTAAGCGAAATGTACACAACGTTCTAGAACGCAAACGAAGGAACGATTTAAAATACAGTTTTCAGGTTTTGCGCGACAGTATACCGGATCTAAAAGGATCCGAACGCGCTCCAAAAGTGGCAATACTTCGAAAAGCAACAGACTGTATATTGAACCTCAGATCCGAGCAGGAAAGATTACTTGAAGAGAAGAGCCTTCTCGAGAGAACGCATCAATCATTGAAGCAAAAATTGAAAGCGCTCACAGAATCTTCATGAGTCCGGACGTTAATACACGCAGGTATTATCCCTGAATGGTTGTTGTCTATATGTTAAAGTTAAGAATATTTATATATACAAGAGCGTGTCTGGGAATAAGCCAAATATTTCTGTCTGTATTGATCTGCTTTTCATCGAAGGAAATGGTATCTTCCGGTCGTTCGCCGAAAACCAATCGAATGATCAGTCAGATCAATTTTACTTCTAATCTATTTGATGTACACCAACTAAACAAAGATCTGTACCATTTCGAAACGACAAAAGCCCAATCGGGCTTTCTATTAATGTAAAATTGGTCAGATTTCAAACGAATCGTTCGTAGTTTTGATGCAGTAAATTTCCTGATTAGCATACTAATTAAAAAAGCGCGGGAAAGGACGTCATAAATTAGCATATATTATTTTGTACTGATATGGCGTTTCGCCCCACATCAAGAAATTTACTGTTTGTGATGATTTGAGATATATATTTTTGTATTTTATATAAACTAATAAGTAATTAAACCACCTCGGTCCCTCGAGGAAGTACTTTATATAAATAAGTCGTACATATATAGTAAATTTATTATAGGGTGGCATGTTGATGTTTTTACCATGTAAAAAACGGAGGAACGCAAAATCCGAGATTTCAACTGTATTGGTAACTTGTATCAAGCATATAAAGCACGTTTTGTCATTGTGGACGGTACGGAGCTACTAAATATATTTATGTTTGAAGGAGTTCGCGTGTAAATATAGCATGGGTGCCGTCCACAATGGACAAAACGTGTATATAAAGTTTCATATTGTTAAGAATATATATATTATATATATTGGTCATTTTGTTAAAGTTGCGAGTATGGAAAAAAGACAATTAGAATATGTTGTGTCATTTGTTATTTTGGGGAGGGTTCGTTAATAGCCAATAACAAATATATTGGACCTTGTGGGGATCAAGTAGTTGCCACTAGGTTGCTAAGTACTGAACGGAAGTATTTGTTATGCAAGCTGCGTTTATTATTATAAGCTCGGATTTCAAACGGGTTTACCCTGACTTAACCTTTGACCTTATAAATGATACGTGCAACAAATTCCTGACATAGCAAGCTAATTTTTTCCGCGCTTTTTTACCGCGAAATACCACCCTGAAATTTTCGCCTGGCGGGCAAGGTCAAATGTGTCATTCAAAGTTGTTATCAGTTGGAATTCCATGCGTGTGAACCTTCCTATTTCATAAAGGGTTAACGACTTTTATATTAAATTTCGCTTTTACTGCCCAGAACTGAAGGAATCCGGATTTATGTGGGCGAAATGGGATTGTGTAATTTCCTGTGTATTATGTCGGGTAAGCCAATCAGCGCCAAGTCCGCGCAATGTTTTGCTTGTAAGACTATATTTTGCAAGGTTTTATACTGTGATAGAGTAATGAGGAATTTGCCCGGGAATGTTTTTTTTTAATTTTGCAAGTATAGACATGAAAGAGTTTTCTTGTATTATAAAATGTCGCAAAAAGTGTTTTGATTCTGTATGCTATTTACATAATTGCATTTTGCAAATCCCCATATGTAATCCTATTTCATACCAAGGACTAATTTATAAATAGCTAGCAGTTTTTAATAGCGTTCTCGCTTGTGTGTTCGAATCAATTAGCATTGAGACAAATAATTATTAACTAATTAAGCTTCTAACAAAAATACCAAATGCAAAGGAATTTACTTTATTAGCGTCCAAGTCTTGAAAAATTAGAGCATTCATATAACCGCAGGCAACGAGACGGGCTTTGTCTGGAATGCTTGATAACGATACCAGACGTTATCTGAAATGATTGTATGTCAGGTAGGCTGAGGTAGCCGCCAGTTTGGAAGATTTTTAGGTGAAAATGCGGGCGGACTCCGCCCGCTCGCACTTTCTGAATTCCGACAAAAACCCTTTGATTCAGGCAGTTTAATTATCAATATTTGATTCGTCTCTTCCATAGATATCTCCGATCTCGCTTTGTTGGAACACTCAATGCTTGACCGTTGGAGAGGCTTATTTGTATCATTGATGATTTGGATCCACATTTTTTATCTTCGGTATTGCGTCATATAGGGGATTGACGCTGCTCTTGTGCTTTTGGAATTGACACTACCAGAATTAAACCATAGTTGAAAAGGAAATGTCAAAAATATTGGTGTTAAACCGTTTTCATTTCCCCTGCAGTTTATACATTGTCATAACATTGGAGCGAAAAATTTTCCTACCCTTCCTGGCAAAGACGAAGTAGAAAAGTATCTAATACTAGTCCTTTAGTGAACTAGCAAGTTACATATCAAACTTAGTGTTAATAAAAAGTCTACTCATATTTCGCGTGTCATATTTCCAACTTTTGCAATACAAATTTGCCGCAAAATTTGATGTTTTTTCGCCTGCGCTTCTTGTACTCTTACATTCGTGATTAGGTAGCTCCAGTAATGGAAAGTTTATGTTCTGGGACACATTTTGAATGAACTTTCGTTTGAAAATAATTCTTATTTCGTAGGGCACTTTTCGCTCAAATATGCGCGAATTGTCAAAATCTATATAGAGAAACGAGCCGCGCGCGCGGTCTATCGAAGAAAACTGGCTCTAGAACGTACTGCGCAGGTCTATGCTCTAAGGTAGCGCCAGATTATGAATCTTCGTAAAATTCCGCGTATTTTGATAGTAAATTTATGCATATTTTCGAAGATTTCGGAAGGGCAAAATGTGCGCAAAGATGTGGGTTTGAATATGGTTTGGCTGCTCATTATGTATTCAAGTGGTTGTTGCTGCAGCCGATGATATAGAAGGGGAATCTCTGATTCAGAGTCAGTCTCTGCCTTCGTTTGTGCACCAAATAAGCAAGTGAGTTGTACAGTAGTCTTTATTAATTGAGGTTTTGGGAAATTCTGTTTACTAATTTGTATCTTTCTGATTTATACCGTGCGGTTTCTTGATTTACAAATTGTCAACAGAATACAAGCGACAATATTCAGGAAGGCCAAACGTTTCGTATGCCTCTTCATCTTGGTTAGCCATTTATTGTCAATATTAAACATGCTTCTGAATAGTGGCATACGGAGTGTCACGCTTAGCAGACGCTTAGTTCAAGCATTCAGGTCAAACTATCATTTCTCTTCACGCTGCTTTCAAACGTGCTAAAGGTGGAAACCCAGTCAAACGGCTTTTAAATACATGGAAAAACTCGTCATATAGTGTAACTATATACTATAATGAACTTGAAACTGATAAGCTGGATTTGTTAATTAAGATTATTATCCTTTGCGGACTTTTTGGAGAATTTGGTCGAAGGCCTCGGAGTGTAATCACTGTACTCTTCGGGAAAAAGTATCGGCTGACACCAGGGCTGAGACAAAGCTCGCTTAGGTCTTTGCGCCATCTTGTTTACATATATTAAGTGTCATGTTGCGCGTCATTCACTGTGCGAGGGGCACTGGACACAAGTTGACTCAAATGTTCGTGATAGTATTGCGAAAGTTTGATATGTATGTAAAATTTATTGTAGTAGACAGAAGTTAAAAGAACTGTTCTGGATATAGTGGGCAGCCGAGAAACAAGAGCCGTAAGCCCGAGCCTGTTTCTTCATAGTTCCACACCGCAAGTGAGCCAGCCCGGTTTGCACCCCCGCCCCTTGCACTGATGCTTACTGTATTGTAAAATTTGGGAACAAATTCCCCGCGCATTCTCATGTTCTGCCTTCATTTCCCGCGCAACTGATACGTAACACGGAAATATTTCCCGCGCAAAAATAATACTTTACACAGTCTTGATTTTGTCAACTGTCTGTTTAAGCCATAGCCCATAGGCTTCACTCGTGTAGAAGTGAGCTGGATGAATATATTTTTGGTTTATTATACAAAACACTACGCCAACATTTGCCTTTGATCATACCAATATTTCAAAAACAATTTTAACTTTGGGGACGAAAACCCAAATAGACATTAATTTTGAGACTGTTTGTAATATGCTGTAAATGTACATATGGCAATGAAGTTGGTACAAACTAAGGACGATAATCACTTATTTTTTTCCCGTGACTCACGCCAACACGCCAACAAATTCCGTAATATAATCTCACATTCTCACCCCAGATGGCCAGATATATCTGAACCGGTTCACCACGCTTGCTTTTCAAGTATGGTCGGACCTCGGCTCTTCTCAAAGGTCTTAAAATAATTGAGGAGAAAGTGCTACCTTCAAATTGACATCAGTAGATGTTTTGACTTTCACGTCTTCTCGTCTACATTAAAGTCGTAGGTACTTCGGATCCCCAATCAACTGGGCCATTATCAGCCTGTTGGGGAATGCGCTCACCAATGAGTGGGTGAACGGCAATAAACTCAAATTTTTGGTTAGGCCAGTAAATCCATAATCTCTTTTTCAGATAATCGCACAAAGAAACTAGAATGAATCTTATAGGTATCGTACAGCGTAGCTCAAATAAGAATGAAGTTGCTGAGGACTTGGCATATCAAATACTAATTTGAATGCGCCGCGGGCTTCATACGAATTAGCAAAATTGACATGTTTGCAGCTGAGAGAAATTTGGAAATTTTTGTTCGCGTCAACGTCGACTTTCCATAAGGAGATACTGGCAAATCCTATTATCGTAGTTGTTATATGTTAGGTGGTATAATACGATTTTTTCATTTTGGAACAAATTTAAATTAAATTTAATACTTTTTGTCTACAGCGAGTGCTAAGTCTCAGTAACACCTCATAATGCATGCGATAATAATGTATTTCCTTTCAACATGGACTAAATTTCCTCTGACACTTACAGAGAATTATTTTCGCACGTTTGTTTTGTTTTAGGACTGTTGCGACACGCAATAACTCTACAGCGATATCGATAACCCGCGATTGCATAAAACAAAATGCACGAAACAAAAAAATCGTCGACAACATTTTTCAACTTTGCGCATAGCATCTTAGTGCAGAGATGGGAAAAACTGTGTTCAAATACATTCAAATCTACTTTAAGCGTAATCTATGGTCAAATTTTTAGGCATATTTGAATTCAGAAGTAATTTAGGAAACGTTTTCATCATCAAGGGCAAGGTCCATTTCCACTCAAGAAAATTTTCCGCGGAAAGAAAAATTTGTAAAATGTGATTGGCCGATACAAATTTTACGCCGGAAAAAATTTTAAAGTTGAAAATGTTCAACTGTTTCTCTCGAGCGGGCCTTCTGAGCTATTATAAGCTTAGCCAGTAATTTTTACTGACATTTATTGGTTTTACCATTAATATTTACAGGGGTAGTAATTTAAAAAATGATCCAGGGGTTTCCAGGGCATAGGGAACAAAGGAAACATTTCCAAGGGAACAGACCCTCCCCCCACACACACACATTATATTACAGTCATTATTATTCAGCTCACTCCACATTGGGGCTTTTCAGTGACCAACTACATCAAGTATTACGCTTACTTATGTTACTTCGTAGACTATTTATCTTTTACAACAATTGTGATTACTTTCTTAACTGTGTTTATCCTAACCCACCCTGACAACCTTCCCTGTGGGAGGAAACCGGAACGCCCAGAGAAAACCCACGGACTTTCGGCTGAGCGTTGACCGACTCTTTTCACATGAGTCCGTAGCAAGGTCTGGCGAGAATAGAACCCGCTTCCTCTGACGACTGGGTCGACTGCGTGCCACCGAAGTCGCACATCTGGGAAACCTTCAAAGATAACCAAGATAAGGTCTAGAGGTCCACTAGAAATCTAAAAAGCTTTTGAATGAAGACCCCTATACAGGGTGTCCCCTATACAGGGTGTCCCCAAAAAAGTACCCTCCATAGAAATTATCCTATTGTTATAATTTGAATGCCTGAGCACTATGCTGAACACAAGACTAAAGCCCCGTTTACACTACGCTCAATTTTTGGTACGGCATGGATAAAATTGGTACGGTGCCAAAAATTGAGCGCAGTGTAAACGGGGCTTAGCTAAATAGGTAGTCCAA